TATTTAACATTTATCAAAGCGCTACAGCAATGTACACTTATAGAACACAGAAAGGATATGTTGCCTGACTACCTCTTTCCCATGAGTATGCACACTCCTGCCCTACGAAAGACCAGCCAATAATGGTTTTGTAGTCTGGAGTGAGGAATTGGTGGGCAGGGACTATACTAGGGGTTACAAGCTCATAAGCCTATAGGGACCATGCAGATAAAATTACTGAGCAACTAAGATTTGGTACCTGCTTGTTAAATACATTTGAATAGTTTTCATTAGCAAAAAAAAAATGTTCTTTCATTTTTTTCATAACCTGACTCTCTTGATATCTCTTTTATTTTCTCACTTTTGATAGAATTATGACTTCAGAGAAATGTGTTCCAAATACAAGAAGACAACACGGAAAGCATGATAACAAATGAAAATAGTCATTTGTTGCAATTTGTACATTTATATAATAGGGAGTGGTTGGAAATTTGAATATTTCAGGAAACATGGTCTTAAATGCTGGCAAAAGTTTTAAATTATATTGTGTGGGTTATTGTTAAAATATAATTTACTTAGGGGCTAAATTTGACCACATGTGGTCTCTGAAACATAAGTTTCTTTTGGTGGGAATTTTTTACATGTTGATTTTGAGATTATTGCTGATTACTATCTCATCTATTCGACTTTTAGTCCATATCTAAGGTAGGGCTAGGTAACCAAAGTTTAAAAGCTCTGCAAATAATTCTTATGCTCATCTGAGTTGGAAGTGACTGGTATAGGCAGTTGGTTAGCGTGGATGTGCTTCTTCTACCCACAGAACCTTACCCTTCAAAGAAATGGGTTTTTTAGCAGCAGCCAATCCGTACAGATTGGCAGCAACCTGATTCTTGCCTGTTTGGAGGCAAGAATTTGGCTGAGGGGCATAAGGCACAGGAGAGACCAAGGCAAGTTTTGGATAGAGTAGTATTGAAAGTTTATTAAAAGGTTTTAGAGCAGGAATGAAAGGAAGTAAGGTACACTTGAAAGAGGGCCAATTGGGCAACCTGAGAGATCCAAGTGCACTTGACATGGGGTTTTAAACATTGGCATGGTTCTGGGGTTAGTGTCTCTCCTCCCTTGATTTTTCCTTGGGGCAGGCTATCTGCAAACACAGTGCCCTGCCAGCACCTGGGAGGAGCCGCATGTGCAGTATGGTTACTGAAGTTGTGCATATGCTCATTTAGGTGTTTTTCCCTTACCAGTTGAGCGTTCCTAGAGAAAAGTCATATACCAGTTAAACCCCACCATTTTGCCTCTTAGTGCACATGCTTGCGCCCACTTGCCCAACTCCTGAGATCTTATTGGGAAGCTGCTGATCACCAGCTTCAGGTGTTTTCTGTCTATTGAGAGACTACCTTTCGCTGGCACTGGCTGTGACCAATTATGGTTTTAAAGAGACAGTTTAACAACTACCTAACCATAACCTGGTGGTTGTCTGATATTCCTGGGTGGGTAGCCCTCTCCTGCCGTGCTCGTGTCTGCCTAGCTGCCTACACTAACAGTTTGCCCTCTAAGAGTGAGAGCAACAACACACCCTTGATAAGGTTCATTTGCCTATATGGCTGAGGACATCTGTGGATGTAATCCATGATCACAGGGAGGCAGCTTGTTCAGAATGCTTGAACCTCATCAGTTGCCACATGTCATATCCAAGGTAAGACTATGCTAGTAAGATGGGGATGATCTTGACATAGATAGAAAAGGCCCTTCTGTACAGTTCAAGATGTGAACAAACTTGAACCTAGACTATATATGATTTTGTAAAACAAGGAAAATTAGCCAGATATTTCCATCTTTGAACAAGGAGCCCTTAAGTTCTTTCAACATTTTTGACTTGATCATGTTCACTTAGAAATCTTCTAATGACTAAGTATATTTTATAGAAACTTTATTATCTGGCAGAGACCAAGTAATGCAAGCAATCTAGTCACTGGAAAGCCATCTTCCTTTATTATAGGTTTAATGACTGGAATTGGGGGTATGAATCAGTTTTCTGTGAGCTTCGATAACATAACCCAGACTTCAAGATCCTGATCAGCTCCAAAGACACTGGCAAAATGCAGTTCTCTGGCTTCCAGCATTGAAGAACAAACCCTTGATGGCTCTGTAAAGCTCAGTTTTGGGAAGGAGGATGGAAGTGCGCTTGTTCATCTATGATAGCACTCCTTAGCATTTTCTAATTTCAAATCCAAATTGGGAAAATTGACTTTTAAACTGTTTTGATGGAAAATTTTATCTGTGATCCAAAGTCTTCTGCATTTTTCCTTACATTTTTTCAAGATGTGAAAACTGAGTTGAAGAAATCTGTTGAGTTTCCATGGAAGTGGTGCCAATTAATTATTTTTTTCTTCCTTAGGAAAATTCCTTGACTTAGCAATAATGTAACTTCCTGGCAATCCCTTGCCAGTCTTAAACTTAGTGCACTTGAAATGCTTATACTTTCAATGGGAAAATAGTTGAATCTCATAATCCCTTTTCCCTCCAGCATATAGAGGAAGAATTAAATAATAATTCCTGTTTACCTTCTTTAGAAAACTTGTCTAGTCCCTTTAGAAAATCTTGCCTCTGACAAACATTATATAAAAGGCCCTTTTTATTGTTTTCTACCAAGTATGTACTGCTTTTCCTAGTACACCATGAAATCCCAGGATATTTGAAGAATATTCATTAATTAGGTAATAAGCAGTTTTCATTGCCTAGTATGTTACATGGACTGAATGGTCATAATATCTGCAACAGTTTAGAGAAATATGGTTGGATGAAATCAGCCTTTTTAGGTATTTAGGTACTTAATTCTTTTATTTCTAAATATTCCAAAGTATTCCTAATTATCTTTTTTTTCATGCTAACTGCTGATTTCCTGTACACTATAGTCATCAGGGAGGTTTTTGGAGAAACATTTGATAAGGATTGATGTTCCCTTAGTCCTTACAAATAAAACAATGTTCTGTTCCATTCTGGTACATTACTGATATCCAGAAATAAAGGAATCTAAGGAAATTGCTCTAAGATGACTAATCAAAAATATCATCAATAAGTTGGACTTAAGTATGTACAGAGGAAAAATATTACAGCCAAAATATGATTAAAATGTTAGTATCTGAGTCCCCACAGAATTTTAAAAAATCTAGCGGTAATTGACCTTGATTATGCAAATTAGGTAACAAGATATAGACAGATAGTAATCAATACAATATTGCATAATTAGGTCCTCGTTTCCCTTTACCACACTCTCCTCCCCTTTTTCTGTGTGCAGATGGGTACTAGTTGTCTATACAAGGTAGAATAATGATAGGGCTGTACTAAGCTTAACAGATACTAGCAGCCCTTCCAGGCATTGCTCTCTGTGGGATGGCCAGAAGGATAATTGATATAATCAAACATTCAAAGGATCTCTTCATTACACTTGATACTCGTCACTTCCCTTCATCTCCTGTGGCCCTCTTCGCATTTTCCCCTTACTTCTAACATAATTTAATTAAAAACATGGTAATTGAATAATTTATAAGAAAAACACTTCAGGGATTTTTCTCCCCAAAAGCTCAAAGCGTCTCTTCTCTTCATTCTTTCCAAAGCTCTGTGAGGTACGTAGGGGAAGCCAGGTAGAAATAATCTTATCTACTTCGTTTAATTCTTTAGTAGCTCTTCTGATCCTAATTGTACAATGATCTCACATGGAGCTTTGCATTTATTTCTTGAGAGAGCTGAAGGCACAGTGGGATGATAATAGTAGACTTAAAAAGGATCTATCTTCCTCCTTAAATATGAAATCACTAAAAATGGAAAACTGTCAAATAAAGAGTTTTTTGCATGTAAATTTACAAGCAGTGTATTCAAGTGTTTCATGAGAGAATAAAAGTTCAGCTTCATCATCATGTGTTGCATTCAAACACCATGTATTAATTGGAAGAATGATCTAAGTACCACCTTGCTGTTGTGAAATAATGCCACTTGAAGTGATGGGTGAGGATTACCCATTTAAGAATGAACCTTTGTTTGAAGGATGATTCATAATGCCCTAGGAGCAGGTCCATTGAGGGTCTGTATTTAATAGTTCAGTGGGTGTTAGAATTTGGTGCAGTCCATTCCCAGCCATCTTTACAATTGCAAAAAAGGAGCCTGACTTAGTAGTTGCTGTGAAATAATTTCCTGGTTTTATTCCAGTGTCCCTCTCAACAATTTAGTGGCACCAATTTCAAGGAAATATTAATTTGGACTGAAGTTATTTCAAAGATGGGCCTGTATATACGCATTCGTTATCATAGGCAGCTAATGTTACCCCCTACCTCTGCCACCTTTAATGTTTTTCATTTTTGAACGTTGAATAAAGCCTTATTGTCAGATTTAAAAAAATCATAATAAAAATTCTGCTAGAGTCTCTCTTTTCAGTAGAAGACAAACATTTCAGGGAAAACTGGAGGCAGAAAATATTCTGTCTGTGGAAGATATTTCTGTGGCTACAGTTTTCAGCTTTTCTCTGAATAACAAATAATTGTTCAACAAATGTTAGATCAAGTGCTGAAGGCAAGAGAACAGTTGAAAAGGATGCAATCTTTGATTGGCATTGAGTGCAAACCATAGAAAACTCACGCTGGCGCCTTTCTTTGGAAGAATCAAATCATTTGCCACTCCTACCAAGTTAGGTTCCAGAGGCTTCCCTTACAGGTCTATGAAAACATGGCCTCTGATGCATCTTAGAGAAGTTTTCTTACTTGATCTTCCTGGAACCCTCATGATAACATTGACAACACTACCACAAACATTCTGACAAGGCCATTTCATGCCTTTGTTAATTAAAATAATTTTCTTGTATTAACTGTATTATGGCAAAATTATATTGTGTGAGATTAAGAGTAAAATTTATAAAGCACACAATTACATACTTCTGTCCTAGGAGGCTTTATTCAGTATTCATATGATTTCTTGATATTTTACTTAGAGATTACTAAATAGACTGAAGTTAGAGTTAGTGTTAGTACCTTGTTTCTTAGGAAGACCACGGAACTTGTCATCATCAGATTGTCTTCTGGCTGTCTTTTGTTGAAATACTGTAAAAAATAAAGAACATATTATTTATTGAACATGAATGTTCAAAAAATCCATACTGTAGAAGTCTCCAGGAAGCCAGAATGCAATATGTCATTTTCCTGAGTATCAGTTCCTACATTGTATTATTTTAGAGTAGGAAGATTATCAAATTTACAATTTTCTCATTTGTGCAGCTTATCAGTCATTTCAGAAAGCATTTTCATTGAGTAGAGTAGTATAATGCTGATGGAATGCCTCATTGAACTAGTTAAATCAAGATATGATTCCATTTTGATATCAGGTAAGAATAAAAGCTGCATTATGTTAAAAGCGATAAATGTTAAAATCATATGAAAAATTTCATTTGCACAGAAATTACCAATGCTGACTTTTTGATGATATGCAAGGATAATGACTGTTTTTCTTAAACAGGTAAAAAGACTCTTGTATTTCACAGATGTAATAATAAAAATGATACTTTATTCTTGCATCATCTATCTAGACCACAGACCTATTAAAACAGCTTATTCGAATTACTTCATTATCTGAAAAAGTGCTTTGTTCTCATTTATTATTTCTCACATGAAATTGTGGGAGACAAGTCAGCATTACTCACCCCATTTTGCAGATGAAAGATAAAATTGATTGTTTAATACTTATTGAGCACCCACAAAGTTCCATATAGCTTCTGGCATTTGTTAATAAAAAAGTCCAGACTCTTTACAACTTTACTTTAGAAAATGAACATCTCAGAGTTACATTTATTTTTTATGGGCAGTGTGAATTACAGGGTTTGGGAACTGGAAAAAGCTTTGGAGATTTAGTCCAACCTCGTATGTTTATAGATGAGGGAGTTGGAAGTAACTAGCTTGTAAAAAGGCTAAGTAATTTTGCAATGATCTCAGAGTTGTTGTTAGCAGAGATGTGATTTAAACCCACAAGCCTTGAACTTCCATCTATTGCTTGGTTCCTTATAGCACTGCTGCCTCTTTCCTTCCATAACTATTCTCTTATAAAGATAAAGAAGGAGATAGAGGGAGAGGATTAAAAGGGAACTTAGAACATTTCCAACACAGTTGTATCTCTTGTTCCTTTTAGTAGTTCGACAGAATTTCCTGGGATAATTGAGCTGAGGCCTGTGGGAGTGAATGTGTTTTAGCTGGATGGTGCTGGACCACTGTGATTGGCAGAAACATCCCAACAGTTACCCTAGATTTCTGTCTTTGGTTTTAATATTCTTTAAACCAATATAAGATCAAGGACATATATGTGATTAACCCCAGAGACTTTTTTAAAATGAAATTTCCCCCTCATCTGATCAACAATTAGTTATTAAACACGTATAATTTGCCAGATGCTGTCAAGACAAAGAGTACTCCCTTCAACTGTGCTCTTTTAAACAGAAGAGGAGAAATATGTTTCAAAGTTTAATGTGTTTGAGAAAAAGTATACACATAAAATAATGTTTCTGGTTGAAAACCAGTTTTCACTTCAAGTTAGTACATGGAAAACATGCTAAATATAACTAACTGGCAAGTTCTGGGTTTGCGGCTTACCTATATTTTTCCTAAAATAAAATATACTGAGGAATATATAGCATATGAATATATGTTAGGATATTAAAATAAGTGTTATAAGAGGTACTTGATTTTTCTATTTGCTAGTTTTACGAGTCTTTAAAATGCAATGCTTTAAAAATTTTAATAACATGCAGTTTCTGTGCCTTTCTGCCAATATTGTTAAGATCTAACTGAGAATGTTTAAGACGAAAAAGCTGGCATCATTAATATGGGAAATGACCTGAATCCAAAGATCCATGCAGACAATAAATTCTTCAAATAAAAATTACATTAATTGATAAGTTTTTAAAATTCTGCTGAGGTTTGAAGCTACAAAGTACTTGGAAATGAAATTATTTTTCCAGCTTTTTGGCATTAATTTGTTACAAATCACTTTACACCCTATATGTTACTGGAATCCTTTTTGCTGATAACAAATGCTCAGTTTGTGTGAAATAACAGTAAATGTTAAACAAATAAATGCTCTCTTTCAGTTACTAGATTAAGAAGTTACAAGGAGTATATGTATTATTGTTGCGATTTCACCAGGGCTTATATTCAGAACAGCTGGGGACAAGGGCAGACTATTGGGATGAGACAGCAGGATACTTTCTACTGAGTGGGGTGATTGTGAAAATGCTGATAATAGGACTCTTGAAAAGCAGACGTGTAGTAGGTCATGCCCACAGTTTAAAGGTTCCCTCTACCTGTTTTGCCCACCTGAGTTCTCTTTTAATTCACCTGCAGCTGCACCCATACCTCCAGGTTCCCTTTCTCCCACCTACAGATGAGTCTCACTTTCTAAAAAGAAAACAACTAGCAATTAGCATATTGCCAAACACACTGTCTTCCCATCGCTTTCAGTTGGGGAGGTATTTTTAAATATGAGGCAACCTTGGGAAAAGACCTATTCTATCTTATTTTCTGAAGAAAGCACTAGCCCATCAAAATTATCACTGAAGCAAACACACCTGTCAAGGACACATATTCCATTAGCCTTATGAAAATAATAGATACAGGTAAACTTTCAGAATCTGTTCATCTCTCTATTTTTACAGTTCCTAATAACTAAAACATTTAAAATTGCTTCAACTAGCAAAACCTTTGTTCTAAAAAACTTTATGTACTTTATATTTACCATGTTCAGCCACCCCACACCACATTTACAAGAGGTAGATATAAAATCCATAACAGGGTGAGAACTGAGTGTAGGGTTATAGGTCACTCGGATTTATATACAAAAGTACATTATTTTGTAAAGCAAGAGTTGTGGTGAGTTAGACGAGAATTTGTTTCAAACGTATTGTAACCAAAAAGTTGTATACCAGAACACTAGCCAATTTGGCACAGAAGATGGGCTATGGTTTTCTCTTCATATCAACCACACGAGTGACATGGAAAAAGGGCATTTCCCTCTTTCTCCCCAACTCCCTTCTGGCCTTTATTTTCTTGTCAACAAAGTTAGGGCTTAGATGTGATGATCTCTAATGTTTCACTCAGCTCTAATATTCTGAGATGTTACCATCTTGTTTCCCAAGACACTCCAGGTCCAATGATGCCGGGAAAAATTATTAAGTGAGTATGAATTTAAGTAGAATGCTATGTTTTGAGGAAAACATTATTTATAACCTGGGGGCATAGACTAACATAATGATGAGGAAGTTTTAAATCACAGGCCAGTGCTAATTTTTTATCATATATTGAGACAATCCTTTCCCTGTGTGTTTGAATTCTTGAAAAATTTACCTCATAAATGTTCAAAACATGCTATCAAAGTAATTACGATATATGTCAACTTTGCTGACTCTCTCCCCAGTGAAATCTTATTTTTCTCCTCCTACCTAAAACTGAAATTTGAGAAGAAAGAAATATGAATGCATTATTAGTTGTTGTCACTACCTTTAAACATAAAAAGTCCAGACAAAACAAAACAATTTTTGAGGTTGAAAATAATCCCAAAGAATACAAATTTCCCAAATAACACCCTTTTTTATTTTAAATATTGGTGGAATGACTTCTGTAAAATTTTCTCTAGAATATGACATTGAATGGGAAAAATTAGCATATCATTAAATATTCAAAATGTTAAGCAAAGCAGAACTAGCAGAAGAGCAGAGGAGGAGGAGAAGGTGAAATTTAATGAGTTCACTTGCACTATTCATCTTTCCAGGCTGCATCTGCGAGAATATTCTTCATGTCAACCTCATTTGTGGTCTATTTCAAGAAAAGGGACCCTTCCATAGCTGCCCTTCTTAGAAAATCTGATAATGCTTATTTTGAATTATTTCATAAGTGGCTATAAGTGATTAAAACCTGTGCAATTAACAACAGCATTCATTTTGTGAATGATAAACCACAAACCCCTTGATGGTTGTCCATTAGATGTGAAAAGTGAAATGTTATGTAGAGCTGTACAGCTATCATTGATGATAATGCTTGAAACTAGAGATTTTATATAAAATAAAATACATAGATTTGTGTTGTGCTCTGGGCTTTCAGGGAATGATACAGTACAGGGTGGTAGCAGTATGTTTATTTTTCACCAAAACACCTTTCATTAGGTTGCTAACTACATAGCCAAGTCCTGAGGGTGCAAAGGTAAATAAGACAAAGTCATAGTTTTCATATTGTCCTCTATTTTGGTGTGTTCATTTAAGTAAAGGTCAAATGTGCCATTAGTGCCTAATGATAAGAGGGAATAGGGATGAGGAACCATCAGGAAGGGCCAGAATAATAACTCAATCCTTGTAACTTTCTATTCTCCCTGACTTGTTTCCCCAATTTCCCAATTTATACTGTTTAAATCTAATCACAAAAGACACAATAAAGTAAAAAACAAACAATTAGCATATTGCCAAACACAGTGTAAACAACCCCTTTGTCTAGCCAGCAAATACAGGAAACAGAATGTTTTTACCCTATAAGCAGTCACATTGACTAATCTGAAGCTTAGAGGAAAGATGTGTGTGGGTAGCCTCTTTGCAAATCAGCAAGAGAGACTGAGTGCTCCAGTCAGTTCAAAGCCACCATTTAATTGTGCTAGCAGTATTTATAGGTTATTAACTTGAGAAACCTTATCAAATACAGGCCATTACATTTCAATGGGTACATTCAAGAAGGTGTGGACACAAATAGACAGCCACATCAGCCACATAGTATAAAAATCTTTCACCCGAAAGTAGTTTACCGCATGGCAGACATATGTAGGTGGAGTTGTGGCATTATATTTTAAAGAAGAAACTGTAAATGGTCAGTCGGAATATATGAGATCACTGACATGGGTTACAGTTTACTATTCAGATAAGCAGAGATGGAAAGTTGGAAAACACATTGCCGCATGAAGGAAAATGGCGTAAAAATTATAATTCGGTGGTGGTATTAATAAATGCTTTAGTTTCCAAAGGAGAAAACATTAATTTTCCTTTCAAGTTGTAACAAAAACTTTGTTTGATAGAATTGTT